AAAAAAAAAGGTGTAGTAGCCTGTTGTTTATAAAAACCATATATATAATTACAGCAACTTGCTATCTAGAAGTGACGGTAGACTGATATTATACAAAAAAGTACAGCAACCTGCTGTTATTTCATAGTAATCTACACAGTCCGCTACTATTATACAAAAAAGTATAGTTGTCTACAGTAAAAAAAATGACAATAAATTGTTATTATACAAAAAAGAACAGTCTGGTGTCAAGAAATAAAAGTAGACTACTGTTATACAAAAAAGTACAGCAGCCTGCAGTTAAGGAATGATAAGAGACTGTTCTTTTTTATAAAAAAAATACAATAATAATAATCTAGACAACAAGCTACTATTCTACAAGAAAGTGCAATAGCCTGCTGTCAAGAAATGACGGCTGACTGCTGTTATACAAAAAAGTACAACGGCCTGCTGCCAAGAAATGACAGCTATCTACTATTATACAAAAAAAGTATAGTAGGCTGCTGTCAAGAAATGATAGCAGATTGCTATTATACAGAAAAAAGTACAACCGTCTGCTATAAAGAAATGATAGTCTGCAGTTGTTATTAAAAAAAGTACAGCAGCTTGCTGTTTAAAAATGACAGCAGATTGCTATTATATAGAAAAGTACACCATCCTATTGTCTGGAAATAACAGCAAATTGCTGTTAAAAAAAAAATCTAAACAATAAGCTATTGTTATACAAAAAAGTACAGAAAAGTACAACAATTGCTGCCAAGAAATGACAAGAGACAGCTGTTTAAATAATAATAATAATAATATCTAGATAACATACTACTATTGTTCGAAAAAGTAGAGCAACATGTTGTCAAAAAATAATAGCAGACTGCTGTTTACAAAATAATAATAATAATTATCTATACAAACAGATTGCTGTTATACAAAAAAGTACCGTACACTGCTTTTAAAAATATATATATATATATATTATAATAATAATTTATACAGCATGTTGTTGATATACCAAAAGGAGCAGGCGGGTACAGTACAGTAGCCATATATATATTACAGCAGCTTGCTGTTTAGAAATGACAGTAGAATGCTATTATACAAAGAAGTACAGCCGCGTGCTGTCAAGTGACAGTAGGCTGCTATTAGAAAAAAAATTAAAAAATTTACTTTCACAAAGAGCTAACTTTTGTTTTATATAGAAGCTACTTTCAAAAGAAGAACCCAACATTGCGAATTCACCTTCACACATACGAGCAACCAAAGATAAAAATTCAGCTTACAATTGACAATCATGGCACCGAGAACAAGAGGCAAAAAAACGGTGTGAGGGAAGGAAGAAGTACAGCACGATGAATTACAAGAAATAAATCAAAATTCCTAACGGGCACCGGTTCGAAATGAAGGTTAAAGGGCAAGAACAAAATGGAGAACCTCCCAACACAACAAGGAATAATCACAAACGAGGAGGTGTACAACAGGTATGAGCTCCTCAAGTCAAGAGTACTGTTGGTCGAAAGAAGGTTCCCAACATTGTACCCTACATTTCCAGAATCCTTTCGTAACGCCATCAACGATCTAGGGTGGGAGATTTCTGTCATTAAAGGGAACAAGCTATAGTGCCTATAGTGAAGGAGTTTTACGCACATATTGATCAAGTGGAAGGGTACACAACATTAGTGAGAGAAAAAATAGTTGATTGGAGCACTAAAGCCATCAACCAACTTTTTCACCTATAATCTTTTGATCACGCCACCTTCAACGAAATGGTGCTGGCTCCATCGGATGATCAACTTGAGATGGCCATAGAAGGAACACATTGGCAGTTCTCGAGAGGAGGAGCAAGGACTGTAATAGCAACAGACCTCAACCCATAAGCAAAAGTTTGGGTTGCTTTCATAAAAAATCAACATACTACCCACTACACATGATACTACATTGTTAGCTGACAGAGTTTTACTAGTGTATGCAATCATAATGAATTTGAGCATCGATGTAGGCAAGATTGTATCGGATGAGATTGTCAAATGTGCAAGTAAAAAAGTGGGGAGGCTGTTTTTTCCACAGCTGATAACCATGCTGTGCCTGGAGGCTGCCGTCCCTTTTGATGAGGAAGAAGAAAAACTTGAGACGAGAAATTTGATGGACTACATAGAAACCCATAGGGATGGCACCAGCAGTGGTAAGAGGAGGGACAATAGAGCAACATACGATATGGATCAACTGTTAAAACAGCAAGAGGCTTTACTCAGCTGGTGCGAAAATAGTGAAGGGAGTTGGAAGGCGTATTGATCTTATGTCAAAAAGAGGGATGAGGAAATACATAAAGCCTTAAGAACCAAGTCCAAAAATTTAGCACTCCTAAGTTTTCCAGAAGAGATTTTTAAATAGTGAAGCAGCAAAGAATCATCGCCATGTGGTCGAGAAAAAAGAGAACACTTCCTCTAACAATGCCTAAAATCAAGGGAATTCTCTGATCACACCTTTTATGAATTGTTGTCTGATTTAGAAGTATACATCCTTATGTTGGGTTTATTTTGTTGTGTTGACGGCATATAATTTTGAATCATGCACATGCATGCACACTAAAAGCATGAAATTTTTTTAGGATGAAATTTTAGGAAGGGTAATAGATCATGCATTGTTTCATATGCAGTCATGATGTTTTGTGCAAGAACTAGGGATGTATTGTCAAAGGCTTCAATATGATAAATAAAACAGTAAGATGAGTGGTGTGTTTCTCTAAGAGGACAAAAGAGGTTAAGAAAATTATGGCTTAAATGGAATAGAATATTCATCAAAGTTGAGGATCCAATATATCATAATCCACCCTAATCAGAAATAATTCTCATAATTCACCCAACCTTTAGATCATTTTTCCAATAAAAAGCATAACCAAGAGTTCTGTACCTCAATCTACTTTCAAGAATGATTCCACACTCACACTAATGCTCATTGAGGACCATTACTAGTTTAAGTTTGGGGGTATTAAAGAAATTTCATCACCCCATACCGAAAAAAAAATAATAATAATAATACCCGAGACCACTTCTCTTCAACCTAAAGCTTGAACTTTCAATGTTAAAAAAAGTGGAGAGCATACAAATTATCTCAATTGCTTGTTGTCAGGAAATCTACCTCACCAATAGAGGTGTTTGAATAGAACGTAATAAATAAAAAAAAAGTTATTGTTCAATAGGTGAGTTGCATCACAAATGTAGCCACACAGAAAACTACAGGATGCTAGTAAGAGAGTCGAGCTAAGGGAGAATGAGTGTTAGTCTGTATAGTCATCCCTCGAAGACTTAGGTGATTTGCACCACAAGTGGAGGCACCCAAAGAATAGGAGGATGACTTCCAGGATTCTTGGGAGAGAGAAAAAATTGTTGTCGTGATAAGAGAAAGTTAATAAAATAAATTATGAAGTAAGTCACACAAGCCAAAGGTAAAAGGAAAATCATTTTATAAGTGTTTTGGGGAATATGGTGGAAGTGAGGAATGTGTTATTTTTCTTGTAAGATTTGGTTATAAGTGTAGAGTGAAATGTGGGGGAAAAACTGAATTGAGGAAGGAATAAGGAATGTGATCTAAATCGTGTTTTCATTAATACTCTACCAACATAAATTTAAATAGAAGAAAAAATGTTGTCAAAAGAAAAAGAAAGTGGAGAGAATGATGGCTAAGAATGAACAATCTCTTAAGTTTGAGGGTGTGATAACTCTCTAAAAGTAAGTCATATCATGTCTCTTTGTATTTAATATTGCACCCCTATTCACCATTTTCTTATTTATTACCCCATTTGTTCTACTTAGTGAGCATGAAATCGTTTATTATGGTTCAACATGAAAAAAAATATGATTTGGCATAAATCGATCTTAATTGTACATTTATTGAGCTATGTGGTAAAATTTCATATATTTATGGTGAACCAGAGAGAGTAGCAAATCTAGAAATAAATGGGGGATGACATGAAATTTTAAATCCACATCCGCAGTCCAAGTGGGTCATTGACTATACAAGGAAGAACATTCTATGTGGACAACTTATTCCTTTTCAGCCCTAAAGGGAAACCCGTGCTCAATATGAAAAGAAAAAGAAGACCAAGAGGAGAGGACACACTTTGGGAGAAAAATCGAATTACACAGCAGCAGCCTCTGCTGTAGTAAACTACTGTGAAACCAGAGAGACGAAGAAAACCGTAACCCATCAGCTGTTGACAGAAGAAGGAAAAGGAGACCAACAAGGATTGATTAGGGCAGAGAGGCGGACGTGAGAGCTCAAGAGAAGGGAACTTCCATTGATGAATGGCAACAAACCGGGATAACTCTCTATTTCCTTATTCTCTTTTCTTATTCCATCAATTTTACATGATTGAGACGTGGATTCCTCTGTTTAATTCAGTTTGTATGGAGCTAAACTTTATAGGGGAGGCAAGAGAGTTTTATATAGTTTAAGTATGTTGAAGGTATGATTTTAGTATATCAAAAAGTTGTTGTTAATGATTTACATGTGTGTTTAATTAGCTACTTTACATACATAGTTGTTCTTTTATTCGAGAGAGAGCAATGAAATCCTCCTTAATACTCTAGTTCAATAGCAAGGAGACTTGAAGGGTAATAGAATGGTTAAAAATAATTCTTCTTCTAAAGTCTTGTTAATAGAAATTACAACGATTATGGAAATAATCACCATTCATGACCCTCAGAAGTGGGCTTAGAAATCTATTAAAAGGAACTAAAATCTACCACAAAACTCAACAACTTATCTGTTTAATCTCTCTTAGCCGAACCTTTCTCATTATAGTTGATTTTCTCATCATTTTCTGTTTTTCGACAGTAGTGACACTATTTTAGTTTTGTTTAAGTAGTTAAAATCACCAACACCCATTTGAATGTTACCAAAAAACTCATTTAATTTCCAGCGATAAAATTAACCAAAATGATAGGTTCCCTGTGAATCAATAATTTACTTATTACTTGCCCTAATTCTTGTGAATTTTACATCATTTTATTATATACATACACAAGCTATTAATTACTACCACCATTTCCATCTTTTGAAAGTTGAAAACTTAGAGTGGTTTGTCCTTTCTCCTCCACCTTATATGTGTACTTTCTACATTGATTTTTTAAGTGCTTCCATAACGTGCTAGTTCCACAAGAATTAGTATCACAAGCATACTCCTTAGAACAATAGTTACACTTGCACCTCTTATTATTGTTTTCTAATATTGTAAAGTGATCCCACACGATTGATCTACTAGGTTTCTTCTTCTTAAATTCAAATTGTGCAGCCAATGGTGGCTTCAATGCATTATAATTACTAAAGCTACTTGCACATCCAGTTGTGCTATTGTTTTCCATCTATAAAAAGTAAATTAGAACTATTATGATTCAAACATTCAACCCAATATGAATAATTACCATAGGATGCATCAAAGTTAAAATATACAATTAGTCTTTGCAAGGGGATATAACAAAAAGAGAAAAAAACTTACCTGTTATGGCGTTCCAAGAGAATAAAGAGAGAAAGACGTCGCGCGAGAGAGAAACAAGACAAAGAACACGAGAGAATGCTATTGAGATCAAATTTCTTGTGAAAGACTAAGTGTCGAGGAGATTTATATTTTAGCTGTAGGTTTGTATTATGGCCGGTTAGGAATAGAGAGAAAAAACTAGAAAGATTAGATAAATTGGAAGAAATCTCTCATATTGAAGAATGAAATGGGCTATTATATAGCGTTACAGAATCAAATCCAATCAAATCAAATTCAAATAACTAAATCAAATCTAATCCTAACAATTCCTCCCTTCAATTGAACACGAATAGTAATCAGTTTATATCTACGATCTCATAACAAACTTCCACCCTGAGGTAACTTCATCAATTTCCATGTGTCATTTTTGTTTATTGCTCCAAATCCATGGCTTGTCTCCATTTCTCACTCTTCAATGCGTCTTTAAATCAATGTGTCTTCAAAGTTTACTGGTTCAGTAGTGGTAAATATGGCCGAGTGAGCTTCATCATCTTCTTTACAAAAAACTTCTTCTATTGCATAGTCTCTCATCCAGACTGCTTCATCATCTTCTTCACAAAAATCTTCTCCTATTGCATAGTCTCTCATCCAGACTGGTGGTCTCTTATTCCTTGCCTTATTTGAGCTAGGAGAGCTTGCTTCAACTAAAGAGCCCGAGGAAATATTTTCCTTTGCAGTATTTTCATCTGCCGCTTCTATATCATAAAGTCTGTAAGCTTTCGACTCTTCACTAACTCCCAGCAAAACATAACTCAAACTTTTATCATCTAGCTTAGTTCTTCGAGCTACCTCCTTTTTTTGTCTCTGAATCAACTCGAGCTCACAATATTGTTCTTCTTCCATCCGCTGCAGCTTCGGAGCTAATTGTCGCTTAGCTTTTTGTACCCTTCTCCTATTCTCTTCCAGCATTTTATCTAGCTCTTCTCTCTTTTCGTGCTTGTTCTTATTTTTGTCTTGTAGCAGTAAGAGTGGCTTCTTTCTCTTCTCAAGCTGCACATCAACATCATCAAACAACTTCTTGTGACCTTCCTCTATTCGCCTCTGTATTTCTAATCTAGTCTCTTTAGAGTTTAGCCTTTCTTCAACATTCTTCTGAATTAATTCTTCCATCCTCCTAGCTGCATCTTCTTCTAACTTCTTTTTGCCGTCATAGGTGGCCTCCTTCTCTTTTATCTCCTCTGCTTTTGCTACCTCCGTCGCCACATTCTAGACCTCTAAGTCTTCATCTTCTATTTTTAAACGTTTGTCAACCAATGGCTTCATCTTTGCATGAATTGAAAACATGTGATTCGCCATCATTTGTGCATTCATTATCAGGCCCCTTTGTTGATGATAGATTTTGTAGGTTCCTTCTTTGATTAAGATCACCAAGCGCTTCTCCTATAGCTGCCATATGCTTAGCAAATTGTTGGTGAGATTGGGGACATAGTAGACATTTGTCACGATTAGTGTGATACCTTCAACTTCGAATCTGACACTGCCTCTTCCTTCAACTGCCAATTTTGAGTTATTTCCGAACCTGACAGTGTGTTTGAAACTTTCATCAAGCTTGTTTTGTCCCCTGTCATATGATTTCAGGACTCAGACATTCAAATTGGTAATGTTCTCTTTGTCAAATTCAGCTTCTTTTTCTAAGCCCGGACATTCAAATTGGTAATGTCCTCGCTTTCCACATCGAAAACAGTTGATGGCCGATCGGTTCACAAAAGATCTACCTCTTCCCCGTCCTCTAGAGTAACCTCTTCCTCTCTGAAATGTCTCTCTACCTCTTCCTTGTCCATACCTTGGTACATTCTCCACCTGCAGAACCTGCTCTTCACTCCTCTTATCAATCACCTTTTGTTCATGTACAAGCAAAGATGCTTGTAATTCATCGACTGTTAATTGGTCAATGTCCTTGGATTCTTTAATTGAGCATACTACGAAGTTGAATTTATCGATGAGACTTCGAAGTATTTTCTCAACAATTTTGACATCCGACATATCTTCTCTGCAATTCCTCATGTCATTAGCAGTAGACATACTCTTGAAAAATACTCAGAAACACCTTCTCCGACTTTCATCTCTAAAGTTTCAAATGTTATGCAAAGTCGTTGTAGCTAGGCTCGCTTCACTCTAGCATTTTCTTGATACTTGAGTTTCATTGAATCCCACAATTGCTTGGAAGTATCCTTCTGAATGATAGTTTTCAGAATACTCTTATCAACGGATTGAAAGAGATAATTCTTTGCTCTGAGATCTTTGAGCCTTGCTTCATTGATTTTCTTTTGCTGGGTTGCGCTTAGTGCTTCGTTTCCTTTTGGTTCCTCGAAACTAGATTGAATAGCACTCCAATATTCCTTCCGCAAGAGATTTTTCATGACCAAACTCAAATTGCTCGTAGTCTCCATCGAATTTAGTAACACATGGTGTAGCAACGCTTCCTAAATCGCTTGCCATTTGTTCAGTGTTTTTACTCCCAAACACTCAATTTGTGTATTTTTCTTTCGGGTCCAATTTGGCTCTAATACCATAATGTTAGGAATAAAGAGAAAACGGGAAAGATCTATAAATTGGAAGAAATCTCTGATTTGAAGAATGAAATGGGCTATTATATAGCGTTACATAATCAAATTCGATACGACTAAATTTGGTATAACTAAATCAAATCTAATCCAAATGACTAAATCAAATGTAATCCTAACAAAGTGTCAATAGGTTGTGAGAGAGAAGAGAATGAGAAAGTAAGACAAAAGTTTGTATGGCTGAGAGTGGAGGAGGGAGAGAAGGAGCTGAGAGAAAATTAGACAATTACAACATAGCATAGGAGAGAGAGACCCAAGAGAGCATAGAGCAAAGAGAGAGAGTTCCACTGTGAGGAGGATGAGGGAGAGAAATTTAGACCGACTCAAAATTTTGAGATGAGACTTTTTGGTAATTGAAGTTATTTTAAATTTCTTTACACCAATTAAATAATTATTGGACTTTGCTGAAACGTGTTAGGCTTGGGCTTTGTAATTTAAATTTCTTAAGTTATTTTAAGAAATGAGGTTTTCTCACAATATCCAAGAAGCAACCCCTTCATTATACACAAGATGTACAAAATATATAAAGATATCAGCAGTTATGGCATTGTATAAACTTAAGACATATAATGGTTGGTTAGATGCTAGTTTCACAAGCCTTTTGAAACTTTTATATGGCATGCTTCCAATTAATAATGTCATTTCAAGATCTATTTATAAAGTTAGAAAATTGTTCAAGGAATTTGATTTAGACTACCAAAAAATTCATGCATGTGTCAACTATTGTTGTCTATTTAGAAATGAGAAAGAAAAGTTAGAAAGTTGTCCTTATTGTAATACTTCAAGGTGGAAGGTTGATAGACAAACTAATGCAATCAAGCAAGGTATACCTGCTAAGGTATTAAGATACTTTCCTATCATTCTACAACTTGAACGAATGTTTAAAATATATGAAGTGGGTGAAAGTTTACGATGACATTCTCAACATAAAAGTACTGAAGGAAAGATTCGACATCCAATTGATTTTGTTGCATGGGAGTTGATTGATAAAAAGTGGCCTGAGTTTGCTATGGACTCTTGTAATCTTAGATTGACATGACTCAGGAGAGATTGTTGCAGAAGGACGATGGTCTTCTAATGATCTAGCTGCTCTTGTTTAATCACATCTCGATAGGACCGCATGATATTAGAGTATGGGTTGATATACCAAAAAAATGTAATGCCTATTTGTGGTGGCCTAATAAAAAATGACATGTATTGAAGAAGCTATGGGTAGTACAATGGCTTGGCCATCACACAAAGTGATTATCCTATGTAATTTTTAAAGTTTATTTATTTAAATTAATGAAATAATTTTTTGTATTTAATGTGTTATAAAATATCCTTCTATATATGTGAATTTCAAAATTAGTCAAGAGTAAATTAGTAAAGGAAAAAACCGACATGTATTGAAGAAGCTATGAGTAGTACAATTGCTTGGCCATTGTCCGTATGTAATTTTTAAAGTTTATTTATTTAAATTAATGAAATAATTTTTTTGTATTTAATGTATTATAAAATATCCTTCTATATATGAATTCCAAAATTAGTTGAGAGTAAACTGATGGAGGAAAAAAACAATATCTTATAACAATGACCCAGAGGTATAACGAAATTTATATAAAAAAAATAACTGATATCAAATATGCATTCCCATACTTAAAATAATTATAAATGATTCATTACCTAGATATAGCATAAAATTGAAATTATAAATACTATATTATAGCATTAAAAAAATAGTCTACCTATGTGTTATTAACACGGCGTTTTAACCAATTGAACTAATCAACTCCACTTTGATAAATTTGGCTTGTACACGATGATATACCACCATTCATTCGGAGAAAAGTAAATGAGTGGAAGAAAATTTGTTGGAAGGAAAAAAAAACAGGGGCAAGAAAATAATAGAAATAGGGAGAGAAGGATTAGACTATTTAAAACAAACGAAGTTTAAAAAACGACAGGAGTGCCAACGAATCTTGGGCCTAAGATTGTCTAAATATCCAGCTAAAAATAAGTTATTTCATTGTAATTGTATAGATTCAACTAACTAATCATAAAAAAAAACGTGAAAAAAATACTAAATAAAGAAAACCGAGTCTTTTATCTAACACTAGAGATAGTTCTCTATTGAACATTACACTGATTCACAATGTCTTAGGAGTCGTGCTTGTCCGAAAATAACAACCAACCTTTCATCTTCCCCCTCATTCTCTCTCTGTTACTCACATTATTTCTTTTACATGTGCGTTTCTGAAGGGTAGTTGAAGGTTGTTTGGTGTATCGTGAGTGTCGAGAGAGAGGTAGGTTGAAGGTGCAACGCCAGAATTCTCGCACCTTTTCTGGCGACTGAATTTTTTTTTTTGTAACTCTTACGTTAAGGAAGTGGAAGAAATGGGGGAAGTGGAGGACATGAAAAAGAAAAAAATGGAAAAGATCCGGAGGAAATAGGGGAAAAGAAAAGAAATGATATATATATATACACTTTTGACTATAACATTTGGTGTCAGCTTAGATCTAGCACCTTGGTTGTATATATTTTTTTTAATGAAGTATAGGTGGCACAAGGGAGGAAATTAAAATACTAATATAGGTGGCATACCATGAGCTCACGACCCTCCTCATGATTGGTGAAATACCTCACCTCAATTTGCGAGATGCCTCACCTTGAATAGTGTGACGAGATGTCTCACTTTGATTGGTGGGATGCTACATATGATTTTGCAACCTAGTTCGATAGCTACATGATTTCATATTGATCATGTGACCTAAACCGGTCTAGGTAGGAATGTATATCTAATTCATAATTCATAACTATGTATTATGTGTGGAAATGAACCGGGCTTTCATTAGAACTCATGCTCTGTAAATCCATCTTAAACGGAGTGAGGGATCACATGGATACATAGTGTCACAATTGCACCTTTGGTGGCAATCAACGTAAGTATAGTTCAATTGATAATATTAATATTTATAACACATTTTTACCGTCTACTAGAACATAATTCAACTAGTAACTTATGTCATGAATACAAAGGTTAGAGCATTAAATTTTTTAATATTGTTAAATAAAAAATATTATTTTATTATAATTAACTTTCCATCTCTGAAAAAGTTGGAATTAATCCAATTATCTATTCCATTAAAATTATGCAACAAACAACCATGTATGCTAAGCCAATAAAAAGGAGAGTTCGTATTGTAATTCAATAAACTTGATTTGTACAATGACTTAGTCTCTTTCCGTTTTGTTAATACTAGATGTACGGTTTTATTCACAATAGAAATTTAAAAAACTTCAAGTAATTTGATACAAAAAGAAACTCTTGCCCGAAAAATATTATGTTATTCATTCTGTTTCTTTCTATTGGTAATTCGTTTCGGTACAGATAAGGGTTAACCATTTATTCCCTTTCTATGAATGACCACATTCATCCCAAAACGAATATAATTGATATAACATTATCAAATGACTCAAATTACATGGCTAACTTATCCCACGGAATTTGTCATTAGAAATTTAGAAATAGCCTGGTAATAACAAATTGTCTTCTTCGTCCGAGGCTGGTCCAAACCCAAGCCAAGCCAACCTCAATGGACTCAACAATGGTGCTTCCTTCATCTCCTCAAACATGGTTCGACTCAATCCGTTGCTCGCCTTTCGCTCTCCAACCTCCATTTCTCTCATTTGCGCTGCTGCCTTTGCCGCTGCCGATTGAATATGTTCTCTTGAGCATGACTCTGGTTGTGGGAGCGAGCCGATAGAGTCAGGAAAGTTGAGCAAGGCAGAGGTGCCTCTCAAAAATACAGCTGCCGAGTCGTAGGCTCGTGCGGCCATCTCTGGAGAGGCGAATGAGCCAAGCCACACTCGTGTCTTCTTCCCTGGTAACCGTATCTCAGATACATAGCGACCCCAACTCCGCTTCCGTACTCCTCGAAAGGGACTTGAAACTGAAACATTAGATCCGAGTCGACGTTCGATAAGTTGTGGTTGAGTTTTAGTCATTGAGAGAAGAAAATGAAGAAGAAGCAAAAGGCAGGAGAAGTTGCATTGTAAGTTTAATATATTGAGAGTGATAACTTGAAGTGAGTGAGAATATAAATGGTGAGTATTGGAATGGAAATAAGTGGCCATTTTTTTGTTTTTATTTTTGCTTTTATGTTTTGACATTTTTTTTTTTTTTTGGGTTATTTAATTCTTAGACTATATTTGGTAACTTAGATAATGAGAAAAACGCTCTTATTAAATATAAAACTTTTTATGAGTTGTAGCCAAAATAAGGATTATATCAACACGGTTATCAACACGGTTATCGATTGACTTTCGACTCATTCTTCCTTCTAGAGAGCTCAAGCAATTATATATTACGTAAGAGCTAAGTTTTACTATATAAATTCTTAAATTCATTTCAAAATCAAATTTAACTAATTTGATCGGAAGATCATAGTCAATTGGATTTAAAAACCCTATTGAAT